CTGTACTGCTTCCCAACATTTCCACATCTATAGCCACTGTGCCCTAAGCTGATATCCCAGCCATTTGATATTTTCACTGTTTCTTAAATTCGAACATGAATTAAATGCACAACTGTTTCACTATACCTGAAATAGTCTTTCCCCACCCTATCTCAAAATGACCACTTAAACTTGGGGTTCCAGGTAAGAATGTAAATCATACATACTATACATTCATATTTACTCCTCACTGCAGTTTCCAAAGTATTCCCTTTCTATCCCCATCCCAGTGTCATGTTACAGCTGTGAGTCTCATGTAATTAAATCATATCTCAAATTATCTCTCATTGTTGCTGTCTTCAACGAACCCCTAGGTTATATCCTTTTATCTACCACTTATTTTCTTTCCTAGTCCACTCTTATTCTGTCCAATGCTGCTTTTGTCTTAATTCTTGGATATAGACTGTAATATCCACATTAATAATCCAATCTAACTTCCTAGCCTCTTGTTTTCTTAAACTCCTTTCTGGTGACCTCAAGATAATAACTTAACACTATTTCAGCCATTCACCATTATGTCCATAAATCTGGACCAGTAATACCTCCAAAGGCAGTTCATTTTGTTCTTTGACGATAATCTCCATCTATCTCTTCATTCCTTGTAGTGCCCCCAATAACAACTTCACCAGGATCTTCAATCCATTCATCTTCCTATGTTTTCACTCCCTAACCTTCTTAATGTCCTGTTTCCTCCCTTCTCATTTTAAATTTTAATAGCATTTTCATTCATTTGTATATACTCTCTGTTCCTTGTTTCCCTTGTACTTAGAAACATTGCAATCCTGGTTAAATCCATTTAGTCCTGCGACCATAAATAAGAATGAGCTGAGGACAAATGTGCAGGATTATGAACTTCAAGGGAGCTTATCTGCAGCTGGACAGTCATATCGCACTTTTCCTGCCCCTCCACTACATATTCAATGACAATTTTCTTCACTCTCCTCTTTACCCAAACCCACAATGCACACCTCGGTCTTTACTCCCAGATTGTGAAGTTTTTTTTTCTATTTCGCTAAGAAATCCTAACAAACAACATTGGGCTTATATAGAGTCCCACTCCATCATCCTCTTCCCTCCAGAATCTGCACTCATAAACGTGGCCTCCCTCTGCTTCCAGAGGATGTATCTTTGTTCCTGTTTAATGGCAATCCCCTCACTTTCAAACTAGATCCTGTCTTACCATTCTTACTCAGTGACATTGTTCCAGCATTCTTTCACTTCCTTTCCTGAATCATGCATCTCTCCCTCTCTACTAATTCTTTCTCAGTATACACACAAATTACTTCTGTTATCTTAAAAAGCAAACCAAAAATTCTTCTGTTAACATGACTTCTCATATCTGAAACTGCCTTTTGACAAATTTATTGGCCTTTCCAGCAAAAACTCCTTGAAAGAGTTGTCTAGATTCCTTCTCTAGAATCCATTTCTTCCCATACTTCATTATACATACTCTCATCAGCTTTCATTCCTACCTGCTCTACACAAACTGCCATGGTCTAATGTTGGTTTTCCTCTTACTTCACTTATTAGTACTATTGGTTGTAGTCAACCCCTCTGAACTATTTGACATGGTTTCTTCACTTTGCTTCCAGAACTGTGACTCTTGGTTTAATGTACTGGTTACTTCCCTGGTCACTCCTCCCTGGTCTCTTTTGCTAGCTTTACTTTTCTTCCAGCTTTCAATGTTTAAATGTCCCAGTTCATTCTTTGTCATTTTCTTCTTTTTTATTCATTCCTTTTGTAATCTCATCCAGAATCACAACTTTGCATGTCGCATCTATGCTAATTACTTCTAATTTGTAGAGACCAATACAGTGTCTGTCCAGTAGTAAAAGGTCAAATCTTGACAATTTAATGAATGTACAACGGTACTATTTTCGTATAGTTTTCTAACACCAAATCACCAGCTCTGCAAGTCAGTTACAGTTTCAAAGCCCTCTCTGCAACCTCCACTCTACATGCGTGTATAGACACACTCTACTAATTGAGATAATTTAAAGCTATTTTTCACATACTTGCTTAATTAGTTTGCAGTGACCTCTGGCTAAAACACTGGCCTCCAATGATTATATGAGGTAGTTTTTTGGCCTAGACACCAAAACATCAGAGAATCAGCTGGAGCTAAAGAAAACAATAACACAACTGGTTTTAATTACTCATGACAGGCGGCTGAATATATCTGACACAGGCCTTCTCCCCAGTACATCTCTCAAAGGCCAGTTACAGGAAATGATGGAGAGAAAAAAGTAACAAAGGTAAAGCCAAAATGTGTCCATAATGCAAATCAGATCATCTTTTATGTGATGGCTTTATTCATTTTGTTTTATATTTTTATGATGGTCCTAGTGCGGCGTTGGTGGTATACTGGTGAGCATAGCTGCCTTCCAAATCTATAAAATTTCTGACCTCATAAGATGTGGTGTGTAAGATGTGTGCTGGCACTTAGGACTAGTGCCCGAGTTCTCAGAAGAGATAGGTGAAGATGGCACCCATTCGTGGATCACTGTGTAAACAAAGAGGTCTTCCAAACTTCATCCAGAATTACAGGCACACTTGTAATTCAACATTGGCAGAGGATTAACTTATCTATAACCTCATTACCTTCTTTGGATGTGTTACTCAGTGGGAAATGGGTGCTTTGTTATAATCAACACAAAATTTTAACCTATTTTTCCTATCAGGTACAAACACTTACCTAATCAAAGTATGGGCTTTGAGTTGGGCAGATTTTTGCCTTTGAACCTATAAGAAAGAGAAGATGAAGGGGATAGAATTCCTAAGTATTCAGGGTTTTACCTCAGGACCTAGTCTTCTTGCTACATTCTCCAGCTGCTTGCCTTATCCCTGGATTGTGCCACTTGCATTGTTTGGCCCATGCTTTGCCTGGCCTTGCATATCCCCATGCTCTTTGAAGTTCCTGTGGAACTTCAGAAACCCTTAGTTTTCCCTGATGCTCTGCTCTGATTCCTAAAAGTCAAGACTGCCCTGAGTCTTTCTACTCTTAACCTCACTTTACGTTATTTCCACAAAAGTTTTGAGTTCCTACAGTATGCTAAGGCCTATGACAGAGATTGAGATTCTAACCATGAACACTCCCTTGAGGAGATAGGAATTTAATAAGGGAGGTAAACAGATGATTATGATGCCGCATGATGAGTGAAGTGATGTGATCAGAGGGTGACCCAGAGTGGGGACCCTTAGCTCAGTAGCTGGGGGAGCAGAATGAAGGAAGCTTCTAGAAGTCCACACATCTAAGTATTTGGGGCCAGACACAAAATAGTGGAAGATATTCTTTCCTGAGGAAGTAAATGCTATAAATGCCCTGAGCCATAAATGGTGACTCCTTCAGGGAACTACAGACTGTCAAATACAGCTGCAGGGGTTGGTAAAACAGGCAGGAGAGGGAAGCCTGGGCTAGATCATGGAAGGCTTTCTATGTCATTCTAAAGCACCGTGAATTCACATAGATAATATGCAATAGGGTCAGATTTGTATTGCAGAAACACCGGTATCAATGTGGAGGATGGATTTTACCATCTGGCCGAAATCCCTAAACCTAATTCATACACTTGCCCACCTTGCCTTGTCTGTGAGGAGCCCAGCTTCATGCCTCTTTCTTCATCAGTGTCCTAAAGCAAAACTAATTTTCAGAATCAGTTTCAGAATATATAAAAAGCAAAAATTATCTGATCTCCTCTCTCAAAACCAAACTCTCATGGGATTGAAGACCAGGAATCTACTTACTGAGGATTTCCCCAAATAATTCTGAGGTAGCTGCATGGTGGACCAGTTGGGGAGTAACACAGATTGCCACACATACCACTAACTTCTTGGTGTATCTATAAACAATAGCAGTGTGTTTGGCTTGCAGAATTATGTTGGAGATAGTTAGAATAGATCTCCCTCTTACCATCTTCCTTCCATGGTGTCTATTACTGGAAAAATCAATTACTGACTGCTTGCTCTTTGAGTAGCATCAAAACTTTAACATGTCCTGTTAAACCCATGCCTTGGCTTCAATCCTTCTCAAACCAATTTTCTCCATATTTTGTACATCTCATTAGCAGTTCAGAGAAGTGCAACTTACCCTCCCATTTCTCAGTTAATTAAGGATCAATATGGAATTGACAGGATTTGTGTAAAGCAACAAAGGTCTGGAAAATTTCTAAGAAGAATTGTGGATGACTTGACCTAAAAAGCAGAAAGGAACTCATCTTCGATCTCAAAGACCCAACTGAGTTGAAGAGTATATATTGGAATCCACACAATAACTATTTTCTCCATAAGCTCAGGCACCCAAAAGCAGAGCAAACTGATAGCTGAGTCAGTCATCTTCTGAGTATTGGAAATGTAGAAAGTCAAGAGGTAAGAGAACTAAGGGTTCTGGTGTTAAAAAAAAAAAAACAGAAAAATTCCTAGGATAATTTACAACAAAGCATCTGCTAATTTGCTTCAAAATTTTTGAAGGACAAAACCATACATAATTTTTTTCTGTCACACCCAGTCTATATGGTAGTGGTTTACCAATGGATTTGGTTCTGGCCTCTGATTTGTTCCAACTGGGTTTGACTCACCTTCTGTTACATTATCCTAGAGTACAGAGGATAACACAACAGCTAGAAGGTGCCTCAGGCAAAGAAGGTGACATAATGTTCTAGCACACTCCATGAAATCACCAAGATAATGTACAAGGTAACAAATGTTTCATAAGAATTGTTTTCCTCTTAGATTAGTGCTATAACTTAGAAATATCAATCTCATGATGATACTAGAGCCATGCAGTAGGCCTTCTTAATTGACTCCTTGAATTTCTGGAAAGACTCAATTTATCTCAAACCACAAATACGAGCTTCAGTACAAAAATATTGGAATGTTTAAAGATGATAGCAGTTGTATTTAAATATTTTGTTAATACAAATTGAGATACATTTTTATTTTTGAAAGATTTTAGATTTTAAAAATTTATTAGTACATATTTGCAGTACATAAAGAATACATTCATCGTGGGGAGTTGGTACATACACAAACACATCATAAACATTTTTTCATTCCTTTCCCCAACCCTCCATGCCCTCTCTGTCTGTCTCTTGAAAAAGATCTGTCTCTGTGTTTCCTATTAGCTATCTTTCATTTTGCTCTTTAAATTGCTTTGGGCTTCTCATATAAGAGAAATCATGTGATATTTAAGCTTGTAGATCTGATTTATTTCAGTTAATACTGGGGTCTCAAGATGCATCCATTTTATTTCAAATGACTGAAGTTCATCCTCTTTTATGGCAGAGTAGTACTTTATTTTTAATTAAACCAGTCCTTATATTAATCCAGCTGGTTCAATTTTCAGTTCATCACTTCCTTGCCCATTTCCTTTGGTGAATCCCTTTCTAATAACATACATTCATTCAATCAAGGATCCAGGAGTAGCTGTGGCACAGGCAGTGCTGAAGTCAGTGGTTAAAATTAGATTATCAGTGTCATTTCCTTAGAAGTTCAAGGCTGAAACCTCAGAATGCAGCATGTTTCTCCTGGAAGAAGATACTTCCCACCGCTGAAATTCAGCCTTCTGTTACCAAATTACATCCATATTACATCACTGGTTAGTAAAATGGACCCCAAATATAAAGGAAAATCATGTAATTTTTCCCCAAGAGAAAGGATAAGACAAAGTTACTAAGCTTGTTTCTACAAGCTCATTTGATGAGTGCACTCTTCATTAGGGAAAGATGCTTGTTCAAGAGAAGTAATAGCACGACAGGGAGAGGAAGCTAATGAAAATGACATAAAGACATCAAAGTGGTCTAGATTTTCTTCATCTATCCTGGACTACCGGACAGCACAAAGTGTCAGTGACTAAGACAGTTTAGGATGTGTGTTCTTTTCCTTTCCATGCACACTTGTATAGTTCAGGTGTACAAAAGAAATTTGTTTCTTTATTATTATTAGCATATATTAAATTGAATAATATAGTGGTTTATTTTGACATTTTCATACATGCCAGTAATATATTTCAATCATATCTACCTCCCTATTACCCTATGTCCATCCCTCTCCAAGAAATCCACTTCCCCTTCCCCTTCCTTAATATTCTCTCTTCTGCTTTCATGTCAGTTTTCCCCTGCTAGGTTCTACATACGAGAGAAACATGGCAATACTTGTCTTTCTGAGTCTGATTTATTTTGCCTAACATGATGTCCTCTAGTTCCACCTATTTTCCTACAAGTGACATGATTTTATTTTTCATTATGGCTGAAGAATACCCCCATTGTGTATATATACTAGATTTTCTTTATCCAGTCATTCTTTGATTTGCATCTAGGCTGCTTCCATGACTTGGCCATTGTGAATAATGCCAAAGTATACATAGATAGTAGGTATCTCTCAGGGATGTTGGTTTTGATCCTTCAGGTATATGTCCAGGAGTGGGTATATGGTTCTATTTTTAGTGTTTTGAGCAACCTTCCTACTGTTTTACAGAGAGGCTATAGTAGAGTACATTCCCACCAACAAGGTATAAGGGTTCCTTTTTTCCCTGAATCCTTTCCAGCATTTGTTATTTTGTTTTCTTCATAATGGTCATTCTGAGTACAGTAAGATGGAATTTTAATGTACTTTTCATTTGTATTTCCCTGATGGATAAAGATATTGAGCATTTTTTCACGTATATATTGTGTATTTGTTCTTCATTTGAGAAAAACTTGTTCAGCTCACTTGCCCATTTATTGAGTAGGATTTCTTCATCTTTTGGTGTAAAATTTTTTGAGTTATATTTATCTTCTGTCAGATGAATAGCTGAACAAAATTTTCTCCCCTTTGGTAGGTTGCCTCTTCACTCTATCAATTGTTTCCTTTGCTATGTAAAATCTTTTTAATTATGTGTTATCCCTTTTTTCAGTTCTACAGGCATTTTCACAAAGCATTCTTCCAGATGTTTCACTCCATCTTTTAGAAAATGCAGAGTATTATAGAGTGTGCACTTCCAAGGGTGTGGATATCCTGTGCACATTAGTTCATCACACAAATCCTGTACATACATCATCAATCATTTCCCCACATGCATTGTATCCCTTCCCTTCTCTCCATCCCTGTCTGCATTTCAAGAGGCACCTTGGAGGAGGTATCCTGTCCCAATGCACCACTGCCCCATCCAGCTGTCCACTCTCACCATTACTCAGGAGAGTCTATCACGGTGCAGCGCAAACATCCACACAGGAATACACTGCTCTGGAAAGCCCTGTTGCTTTTCCTGATCCAGCACCAACAGTCCACTCTTCCTAATGAGGGTCCTGAGGATGTCCATGTCCCGAGTCACACTGCTGTCAGAGAGGTCGAAGACACAGCCCTCCCGTGCCACATTGTCCTTCAGTATGATGATGCCATTTTCTTTCAGGCCATCTCGGCACCGGGAAAGAAATGCAAGCAGGTCCTTATCAGTTAAGTACCCTACAGGTGGGGCCAAGTGGGGAAAAATAGGTTGAAACAAGGGGAGGGAGGGAGGTGAGTAGGAGAGAACATAGGGCTCAGAATCAGAAGACTGGCTATTTGCTCCCCCAGTCACACATTATTTCACAGCTTAAATTGTTTTCGCTGCAAGGGTCTTTGGAAATTTACACAGAAGGATAAATGTTCTCTACAGACTCAAGATACTATCCATCCCATGAGCCCCTTTATGTGTCTTGGATAGCTCAGCTCCAATATCATTCTTCCATGGTGTATACGCACAAACAAACCACACCAAAACAAACCAAAACAAAAACACCCTGAACATCATCACCACCATCAGTCAAATTCACCACTGTCTCTTTCCTGGGAATTGAAATCTAAGAATGTCTAGCTCTTCCAATAAATGGAGATTAACCGTTCTTGGATCCAGTTGTTTAATATTTAAGTATGTTTCTTCAAGGACTTAGGTTGGTCCAAATGCATTTGCACCATCCTTATGGATGAAATTTAATTGTTAAGCTTGTATAGAGGATATTAGGAGAGAAATCTGGGGACCAGAGTTGTTGGGAGGTCACATGACTCCTAGGGCAAGCTACCTGTGCTAAGCATAAATAAGCTAATTTCCCCTCAAGGTCCTCATTCACCCCAGTGTTTTCTCCTATAGTGGAGAAGCAGGAAAGGACACAGACAACACCATGCAGGACTGACCCGACACCCACTGAATCCAGATGACATCGTATCTCCCGAAGGGAGGTGTGAATTCCTGCAGGCTGTAGCAGTGGTAACCTTCAACCTTGTCCAGCTTGCTCTGCAGGTAGTTCTGGGCTTCAAGTAGGAAAGACTCCATCATATCAACCAGTTCCACTCTGTCGAAAACTGGCAGCAAAACATGCTTGCTGACCCTTCCTATCCCAGAGCCGCAGTCCAGGGCGCAGTCAGTTCCTGTTCTCCCAGGGCCCTGCAGAAAGGTACCTGTGGGACACTTAGGTATACAGCTTCACCCTAAGTTTCAGATGACCTATTTCAATTGACTTTATTGGGGTCAGTTTTATACACCACAATGTGTCATTTTAAGTATACAATTCAATGAGCTTGAACAAATGTATATAACCATCATTACCAAAGTCAAGATATAAAACATTTAATTATCTTTCCTCCTGAAATACTCAAACATTCGTAGTTTTATTTTATTTTACCCAAATATAGGTCTCTAAGAGAATCAAAAACTACTATTTTTAAAGTAATATCTGAAGTTTCAACATTTGGTAATTCCAAAAGATAGGATAAATGGGCCCTGGTAGCCCTATGAAGACAGGATTTTGATGACTACAATTTGGGTTAGGCCCACAGGTAAGTAGACCTCCACTGTAGGTTGTTACTCTGTAAAAAAATGGGGTGGGGAGACAAACAGTGAGGATCACCCTGAGATTGAAAATGATTTCTTGTGTTTTATAAACTGAAATAGTTAAAGTCATATTGGAATGACTGAAATTTTTTTTTAAACTGAATTTTGGAATTATCTCCTCTTATATGGATGGTAAATTTTGAGATCTCAGCTAAGGATTCTCATTGTTCCATCTTGTGGCCAGGATTGTAAATTTTACGTCTATCCCTTCAGCACACAGCTTGCTCACATGAATGAAGATGAATTCCAGCCACCTCCTTGACTCCTTCAATGCTAAAAGTTTTCTACTTTTTATACCAGAAACTAAATGTTTACTGGAAACTTCTTTAAGGTAAGTCTGTGCATTAAATTAACTGAGAGTGAGGCATTGGAGAGGAAGAGGGGTAATGAAAAATTAGCCAATGCAAACCCTCTCAAACTCGCTTCTATACAATTAGAAAAAGTTTTCTGAATTATGAAGATTCAGCTGTTCTAAATTATTTGGTCATAATTGGGATAACTGCTGAATAGGTTTTGCGCTAGCAAGTACAGTAATGAGATACCTTAGGTTACAAATCAAGATCTTAATGAGAAAGCCTACTCTTGATTTCTCAGGAACTAAGGATTGAAAAAATTGGCTAAGGATCAAAGTATGAGCAGAGGAAAACATCAAAAAAAGAATCTGCCTTCAGGTCCATCCAAAAAGCTTTCCTTATGCTAGGAAGGGGCCATGAAGAAAAAAGAGAAAGGACTGTAGCTTCTTTTCAAATAGAAAAGTAACCACAAGAGAGTGTTTCTGTGTAGCAAGATTTTTACGTTATAATAATTTTTTTAAAAATTTCACAAGATAATGAGTATTGTCACCACTTTGGAGATGATCAAACTTACACTGTTAATGGTGCATAGTTAGCAGCAGAACTAGAACTTAGACAAAAATTCCCTGTGTTCAAAGCCAGCTGGGCATGAGGAATGTCACCTCAAGTGACAACGATGATTCCCTTGGTACTGTCTGACTAAAGCTATATTCAAAAGTAATCTTTAAATATTTATTTTTATTACTTTATTTGTCATTAGTAAATTTGCAGTTCATGAAGTTTATTTACATTTGGGGCACCAGGAACATGAAATAATACAATTTGTTTCTTTTTCTAATCCCCTTCCCTTTCCTACCTACTTCTCTCTCTCTGCCTCTAAATCCCCTTCCCCAAATTTCCTTCTTGTTATAATTATTCTTATCTCATTTCTATGACATATAATGCTTACATTCCCTGAGGTTATTTGGCTTCTGTGCATGACATAGCTAAATTCTTCTTACTTCCTCTTCCCTTCCCATTGCTCTCAGTCTCCTAGACTACTTCCCATTTGCTAGAGATCAGTCCTCTTTTTTCCTTCCCTCCATCTTTTATTCTGTTCTTTGTACTTTACCTTACTCAAATGACAGATACCATATGGTATTTGTGCTTGTTTGTCTGACTTATTTAGACTCAACAGGAAAGGGAGCTATGATTGATTGATTAGTGATGTCTACCTAAAGTATAGGGAGGAGAAGCCATAATATATTGCTATCTGTTTGATCTTTTCTACTCATACTACACTGCCTCCCTCGTTCAAATATCACATTTTAAACTAATTCAAATGTCACATTTGAATGAAATATCTTCATTCAAATATCACAATTTAAACTAAATTAGAAAAGGGCCTAAGCCAAAGTTTATATGGTAAGTACAGTACTGTAAAAGCAGTATCTTTTAAATGAATTCATAATATAGGATGGGAAAAAGTATAGAGAAATTACTTGAGGCCACAAGAAATGACTTTATTAGAAATATGTATGCTCCATAAAAGATTCTCATGATTAATTTTTTGTACAATTACTTGGCTCCAAAAGTCTGCATTCACCATGTTGTTCTCATTAATATAGTAGCAGGTGGTTTTAGAAGTAGAACCATGGAATAAAACAAAGAGACCTAAGAGATCTGGGCCAGAGGATTTTAAGATTTGCAAAGGCTGAACTCTTTTGTTTTCACAGAATACCTAAATGTGAAGCTGCCCTGGTTAAAGTGAGGCCAGGACTTGCCCACTGATCCTTCCCATCATTCTGCAAGGAGCCCTTAAAGAATCTCAGCAAATTTCTACAGCTTTGAAATCACTGGTGCTTCATTTTCCTGCTTTTCCAAGAAACTTGAGGTCCAGGAATCTGAAATATTTGAAGTGGAACACCCTTGAAGATGTTTTGTCTTCTAAATAGTATCTTTCACCAATAATGTATTATAATATTTGACTAAAGTTATTCTTGAAAGCACTGTGATTTACAATCAACGAAAAAGAGAAATGCTTCTCACTAGAATGCTGTGTCCTCACTACTGTCCGGTTCTCTTTGTTCCATCTGCTTCGATGTGGTTGGCACCACCTCCTCTGTCCTGGCACCACTGTTCCTTTTCTGTCTCATTCACATGCAGCTCCTCTGAGAAGGGACATTTGAAGATTGATCTCAGGGACTGCATCACTTGCCTCTTGGATACTGCAGCTGCAGAAGCTGTGATTGTACTGACATCTAATGCCAGTACCTCTTGAGCTGATGTGACTAGAACTACATACAAGGTGTGATTTCAAAACAAAATGTTCTGTTTTCATTTTCACATATCATACTGTCTTGATATTTATGGATTCATATAAAATGATAAAATTCTATTATTTTAGTTTTAGTTTTGGTTTTGTTTTGATTCTGCCTATGTATTTGTTTTGAAGGATAATATTTTAAGCTCATACAATGGAATTGAAAACTCCACTGATAGAATTTGGTGGCTCTGTATAAAAGTCATGAAATATAACATGTTAGATCCAGACCTTTTAGTTGTCCAATCTGAGAAATGTCAAAAACTAAATGCAAATGACAGTGACTATATTTTATGAATTGCCTCTATCCCTGACTTTATTTTATTTTCAGTTTTTTGGTACTGGGACTCAAACTCAGGACCTTGCACTTGCCAGGCAAGCACTTGTGCTACTGAGCTATATCCTCAGCCCTCCCCCACATTAAAGCTGAGGATAGTTATCAGCTATGCCACTGACATCATGTTGATACTACTTATTTATTTGCTAAAGTAAATACATTTGCAACTAGAATAAGCACCTTTTCCTACTGTCCCATATCACTAAGTGTTGAAAGAAAAGCAAAATTTTAAATTAAACAAGCTCCCTCTTCCCCATTGACCTAAGAATAAATCATGTCAGATGCCCATATCCCCTAACTTCTTGTTTCTTGACCCAGATACAAATTTAGCAGATCATTAAGGTCAATGTACTAAAATATCATTCCTTTAAAAAGACCATGTTTGTACTTAGTTAGAGGTCACAGCTGTACAATGAGCCTTGTCTACTGAGAAAGACTCCTTATATTTGTTTGAAAGGAGCAGCTGCCTCTCTTCCAACATAAATATGCAAGCACAGACTTCCTTTCCCAGGTCTGTGGCCGCACTCCTGGGCTCTGTCTGACCAGCTTCCCTGTGGTCAGCTTGGCATGCCACACGGAGTGACAAGACGGCTGGATTACTAACTAAGCTTCTGAAATGTTTTGGGATCAAAGTCAGCCTCACCACGAGGCAAGCAGGAGAGCTTGCTTGGGCCAGATTGGAGGAGAGTTGAGGTCTATGCTCCAAAAAAAAAAGCAGGGATTTTTCTGCTTCAAGAGACAAATGGAAAAAATATGTCATGGTTAAGAGTAGGGAGTTTGGTGTCAGGCAGAGCTGGCTGGTCATAAGCTTCAGTTCTGTCTCTTACCAGTGTATAACCTTGACAACTTATTTAACCTCTTTAAGTCCCAGTTTCCACGACTATAAAAACAGAGCTGATAATAGTACTTACTTTGAAGAATTGCTGTGAAGAATAAATGAGACAGGGCTTCTGAGCTGCTTAGCAGAGTGACTGGCCACATTGAGACGGGCATTCCAGAAAATCAGCAGGACTGGTTTAGAAATACCCCAGGTCACCCAACTGGTAAACATGCATGGCCACCATCCCTAGATTCTCCAGTGCATTTTGGCTGCAGCTGATGTCCAGGCAAACACCTTGTCTCAGGAGATATTCTACACTGATCACATTTTTTCTATTGCCAGACCTGGATCTCAGACACTGCATGTTCTAAAGAGGCTGGACATGAAGCAAACCTCATCTCAACACGAGGGCTAGTCTTCATACTATTCCTCTGAATAGGGTGACATCCTAACTCCAAAACTTTTCCTATGTCAGAATAAAATTTAGCTCCAAGCTTCACATAAATGACTGAGTCGTCAATGAGTTTATGTTCACTTAGACCTAAAGCAACTTTATTGACTGGTTTAAGTCTATTCTAACAACCAAATGAAATTTCTTAAAATATAATAAACAGGCCAGGTGTAGTGTCACGAACTTGTAATCCCAGCATTCTGGGAGACAGAGGCAGGAAGATTCCAAGTTCCAGCCCCTCCTAGGCAACTTAGTAATTTAGCAAGAGCCTGTCTCAAAGTAGAAAACAATATAGCTCAGCAGATATAGCTCAGTGCAAAAGTCCTGGGTTCAATTCCTAGTACAAAATAGTAATAATAATAATAATAATAATACATTGTATGACATCTCATTATTAGTAATAGTAGCAGTAAATTAGATCTCCTGGGTGGTAATTTTGTGCACCCAAGCAGCTACTTTACATGTATCTTATTTAATATTGCATTTTTCTATAAGGTTAATTCTATTGTTGCTCCTTAGTCACAGGTGAGAAAACTGAGGCTCCAACCATTTAGGTAGCAAGTCCAGAATTTCTTATACAGTAAGTGAAAGAACTATGATGACTTTAACCCAAGATTGTGGCCTCTACACTGCATTGGCTGTCTCCAAATGGTTTGGAAGTAAGGAAGCAGAGGTTCACACAAAACCAGAATTATAAAGGAATCACATTCTTCCAAGGAAAAATCTGAACCATGTATAAAAGAATATAAAAAGGTTATATCATCCTTATTTTTAAACTGAACATAAGCATGCATTTTCTCACTACATCTAATTTTTATTAGGGGGAATAAGTAAATCAACTCCAAATCTCAAGTATCTTGATTTCTCATCAATCATTTGGGTGTCATTGTTTGTCTCTGAGATTCTGAAGTAGAGGTGGTTTTACTCCTCAAATAGTAATATCCTTTTTACTAATTCCCCTTGCCTTGCAGTGTGTAAGATTGGCTGGTGCAAGGAGGGTGAAATGCCTAGTGGGATAAACCAAGGGCTTGACGAGATCCGGCTCTCCTGAGAATCTTTTATTTTTGGGGGGTAGTTTCCGGTACTGGGAATTGAACTCACGACCTCACTCTTGCCAGGCAGGCGCTGTGCCGCTGAGCTAAATTCCCAGCCCGTCTCCTAAGAATCTTAAAACAGGATTTCAAGCTGGACCCTGAGCCACAGTGCTTTGGCCTGACTTACCTAGCAACACAAAGTTACGTGATCTCAATTTTCGCAAGAATTTTGCCCTCTCAATCTGCAGTTAGATAACTCACCCCAACAAATTTCCTAAGAAATTCTCGAGAGGCCTGGATATCTGGGCGGGATAGTTCAATGAAATTTCCCATCATGCCTTCTTCTGTGGCTGGCACTTCTTGGTAGAAAAGTTTGGCTCTGGCATAGAACTGCATCTCACCATTGACGACTTGGCTTGTTAAAGCATATAATTTTACTGCAAATGAAGTATTATTCATAGATATTAATGTTCACATGATACAATAAGCTCTATCTTATCATATATTCAATTTCCTCCTAAAAGTACTAAATTTGTGCTGTAAAAGAAAGGGCACTCGTTTGAAGTCAGAAGATCTGGGCTTCAGTTTTGGCTCAGTGACTTCTGTGCTATACAACACTGGAAAATTTTCCTAAACCCTGCAGTCTTCACAGACCTCATCTATAAATCACAGTGCATTTTCATAATTAAATAAACCTACAGTTTAATAAACATGGCTTAACATTGTTTTAAAAGATGAAAAGTGCTTGCTATAGTACAATGAAGAATATTATCAATTTTTCTGAACTTCAAATGTTTAAAGACAATTTTCTTATTATTTTTTAGTTCTAATCACAAAGTAGGGGAAGCTATTGTCATTATTTTAAAACAACCTCTATCCCAATATGTCTTTAAACCAACATGGTAGAAATGTACTTGAACTTTATCATCTGAAAGAAAAATAATGAAAATAGAAATAATAATAGTTAATCAGATGTTCCATTCTATGTAATGTAATAGGCCTATGTATACATGGTTTGTCATTTTATTTTCCAAAATATATAGGATGTATTATTTTAAGACATTTTCAGAAAAACATTAGTTATAACTTTTGTGTGATGAATGAATATGGATTTCAATGTGGTTTATTTCATTAGAGAACAGGTCTTTGAGGAAATCATCACAAATAGATGAAAGGAAGGAATTTCGTGTTCAAGATCAAGGCTGAGTATATGCATGTCTTTCATTCCTCCAGAGCTCCCTGACAGTGTACTTCTGTAGGAGAGTAAACCCATAATAATGAAGAAAATGAGAAGGGATTACTGATTGTTTCGTGATTTCAATAAATGTCTGGAAGACAAAAAGGAGATAGAACAAAGTTAAGTAATTTGCATACCTGAACCATTACAAGAGAAAATTACATTCCAGATTTAATCAGTAGGAGGCAAGTGTACGAATGAAATGAAAGCCAAAACAAAAGTTATTCAAAAATCAATCAGGTGAGGGGACAAGCACACCCTCCCGGAAACAAAGATCTCACCTCAAAGGAGGAAAAACATGTCTCACCCCTAAAAATAAATAAGTGAATAAATTTTGTAGGGAAAACTAGTCGTTAGCACTGGGATCTTAGAACTCGACTCATTTTAGCAACTAGGAGACTCCATATGTCTCACATACTCACACTTATCAGAGTCTCTAAGGTCCACATGTCCAGCTGCATGTAATTCTTTCTACTTAGGGGACATGTATGTAACAAAGGAAAAGTGATCCATAATCCACAGTCATTTACTTTGTCCTTTATTCTTAAATGTGGCTAAGCAATGATCTTCAGACTCATGAGAATAAAATGTCATCCTGAAAAGATTGATATAAATAATCAAAAATGACTCTAAAAGAAATAGAAATAACTTAGGAAATAGTTGAGAACTTAAACAAAAACAAAATACAAAATACATATATTCTTGGGGAGACATAAGAACTAGCACATACATCAAAGATAAGATACTAAGACATGACAATTACAAAATTCTTAGAAATTAAAGTTTAGATTGCACAAATCTTTGGAATAGGATACCAAGTAAATAAATTTCCAAGACATAGAACAATGAACAGACATGGAAAACAAAAGTAAAAAGATGAGATCTACAAAGACTTAATTCAAGAAACCGAATATCAAGCTAATTAGGATTCTAGAAAACTAATAAAATGAAGGGAAGAAAATTACTGAAGAAATAGTAGAAAAAAATTTTCTGGGGCTCAAAGAGATTGTAAGATTCCACAAGTTCTGAGCAGTAAGAGATTTTGAAAAAGCCACATTTATATACAATCTTAAGTAGTTTCAGAACAGAAAGAGTAATAAAAAGTTCTTAGATTGTTTTGAAAAGGAAAAGGAATTATCTTCAAATAGGGTTGACAGATTTAGCAAATAAAAATGCAGCATCTACAGATTTGTTTTAGATATATAAAAATAATTTATTAGCATAATATGCCTGAAATATTTCACACTACATGGAGCATACTTATACTAAAAAAACTATTTGTTGATTAAATTCAAATTTATTTAGCATCTTATATGTTATTTGGCAATCCTATGTTCAAAGGACAAAAAGTAGGCTTTTACCTCAAATCTCTGAGATACTGGAAAACAATAACTTAGTGTCATTAATACCCTAAGGAAAATTTATTTTGACACTAAATTTAATATCCAGTTAAAGTGTCAAAGAATATTTACCTCCCATGGAATCCTCCAGAAGTTTCTTTTTTAGAAATTGGTATATGCTTGCAATACATAACAAATACATTTCATTTTGAATAATTGGTACATATACATATCTCAATCATTTTTGCTTCTTCCCCTCCCAACTCTCCCCTTTACCTCCATCCTCAGGTCTCTTCCATACCCACAAAGTCCACCTCCCTGTTTTCTATCATCTCTCTTTTATTTTGCTCTTTAAATTATTTATATTTTAGGTTTCTCACATAAGAGAAACCATACAATACTTAACCTTTTGTGTCTGACTTATTTTACTTAGCATTATAGTCTCAAGGTCCATCCATTTTCTACAAATGATGCAAATTTGTCTTTCTTTATAGCTGAGCAGCATGTATATATCACATTTTCTTTAGCTGTTCATCTGCTGATGGGCATATATGCTGCCTCCATAATTTAACTATTATGGAAGAGCTAACTGCTATTAATAGGGGTATGCAATAATCACTGTAATATGATGTCCCTAACTCTCTCAGGAAGATATACAAAAGAGATGCAGAGGGGCTGGGGATTTAGCTCAGAGGCAAAAAGCGCCTGCCTGGCAAGCGCAAGGTCGTGAGTTCGGTTCCTGGTACCGGAGAAAAACCAAAAAAAAAAACAAAACAAAACAAAAGAGATGCAGCCAGATCAAATGGAATGTCTATATTTAGTTTTATGAGGAATTTCTATAGTGATTTCTATAGCGATTATAATAGTTTACATTCCCACCAATAATGTAAAAGTGTTCCTTTTCCCCTACAGCCTCACCAGTATTTGCTTTTTTGAGTTCTTGATGATAGCCATTCTTTCTGGAGTAAGTAGAATCTCAGTATTGTTTTTATTTGCATTTCTATAATGGACAAAGACATTGAACATTCTTTCATGTATTTACTGGACATTTGCACTCCTTCTGAGAAATGTCTATTCATTTCAACTGCCCACTTTTTATTGGTTTTTTTATTCTGGGTGATCTAATTTTTTTAGTTCTTTACATATTCTAAATATTAATTTTTTGCCTGAAGATATGCTGAAAAAATAGTTTTCCCTTTCTGTATGCTGCTTCTTCATTCCACTGTTTTTGTTTGTTTGTTTGTTTGTTTTGCTGTGCATAAGCTTTTTAATTTGATAGTTCTTTGTATTTTGGGTGTTATTTCTTCAGCAATTGCTGTTCAGAAAATCCTTGTCTATGCCTATGTCTTCAAGAGTTTTACTTGTTTTATCTGCTGAAAGAGTCAGCGTTTTGTTTTTATTTCTAAATTTTCAATCTATTTTGATTTTATCAAAAGATATGTGCATAGTTTCAATCTTCTGTGTGTGAGTAATTGGTTTTCCTGGCATCATTTGTTAAAGAAGCTGCCTTTTCTTCAGAATAATATCTTGGCCCCTGAAACTTCTTCAAAACTTTTTTGAAGTTGTAATCCAGCTCAGTAAGGTTTAAGATCAAGAGAAGACACACAATGAAAGATGATATAATTATCAAAAAAATCCAATGAAAGACTCCAAGTGGCATTTATCCACTATATTTTTAAAGAAGTCAGTTCACTTGATGAAAGATAGCATAGGATAGATTCTAGACAGTAGACAAAGCAGCCCAGAAACAAGAAGATATTAGTAATACTCTAAAACAAGGTTTTCATCTCAATCACCAAAAATAAGAGATAGTTGAAAGCTCTAAACAAAACATGCAATGATTAAAGCATCATCATGGGATGAAGCAAACTAAAGTATGAAATAATTTTGATTGAAAGGAATCTAAGAAAAATCAACTTAACTTTAAGTATGAAAATTTTGTTTCGATAACCCCAAGGTTTTGACATTGGACTGGTGTACCACTTTCCTCTAAAGTAAGCAACAATTAAATAATACCAAATTTTTATTTTAAAAGTTGAAAATTCAATAAGCATCACTTATAGTACTATGACTATGTCCCATCTATAGAGTTACAATAGTATTTTCCAACTTTGAAGACATTGGAGCCATTTGTTTGAAACTTGACCAGGAAGTTCTTGAAATGGTTATAAGAAACCAGTTTCCATATATGTCATTTTCTGAAGATTAACAGTATTATATGCTACATCTACATACATACTAACTATTGTACATAGAATGCTATTTTAAATATATAAAAATTTTAAAGGTCTTAATAAATATATATAAATTTTTACCATCTTCACAAATTAGCTACTGATTCAGAAAATACAATCCCAAAACTGGGGTCCTCAGGTTCCAATAGAGTAGGAGGCACTGACCTACAACCATCTCCTATGTGTAGGACTTAGTAAAGTGTTGTGCAAACACCAGGTGCCCCAATAAGTGCTTATAAATTCAACAAGGTTGACAAAAATCATGCATCACCCACACAATAATATGACCATTCCAAATTCTGTGTTTTTTTTAAATCAAGCTAGGAAATTACGGCTTACAGCATCTGCCCATGCTGGGTGCTGCTCCGAGATCTCTGGCAAGCCACAGCCTCGTGCTTTCCGTGATCCAACCAAAGCAGCAAAGCAACCGCACTCATCATCACCTGCTTAAGTCAACTGGTTGGTGCGGTCTATTTTAAACCTTGATCCAGAAATGAGAATGGTCCTTGATGCCAGCAACATTTAGACCACAAGTGAATGCTCGGCTCAGTAGGGGTCAGTTGTAATAGTTGGGCTGTTAAGGTTACAGGCTTGAGTTTTTATTTTCATCTTATTGCCAGATGCAT